TCGCACATCCTAGTGCTGGGGCACCACTTCGAGACCAAGACACCGGCAACGGACCAAGACACCGGCAACATATCGTACATCTTCGTGCTGGGGTACCACTTCGAGACCAAGATACCGGCAACAAATCGTACATCTCAGTGCTGGGGCACCACTTCGAGACCAAGACACCGGCAACAAATCGTACATCTTAGTGCTGGGGCACCACTTCGAGACCAAGACACCGGCAACAAATCGTACATATTAGTGCTGGGGCACCACTTCGAGACCAAGACACCGGCAACAAATCGTACATTTTAGTGTTGGGGCACCGCTTCGAGACCACGACACCAGCAACAAATCGTGCATCTTAATACTGGGGCACCATTTCGAGACCAAGACACCGGCAACAAATCGTACATCTTAGTGCTGGGACTTCGAGACCAAGACACCAGCAACAAATCGTACATCTTCGTGCTGGGCACCACTTCGAGACCAAGACACAGGCAACAAATCATACATCTTACAAAGCCAATCGTGCCCGACCTCGGGCATCGTGGCGGCCCTTTCTCCAAGCCGAAAGGTCCTCTGATGGTTGGAATGAAGGATCCTGGCTCAAGAGATGGAGAGTCTACTATTGACACTCCTCTCTCTTCGGTTCAAATCCAAGAGTGAAATCTTGATATGTGCATTTCAATGTCGTCAATGCCTTGGCCATTCGGCATGGGCAGACAGTAAGATGACAGCTGCTTGAGCTCACTGCTTGAAGACGCGAGGAGCTTTGCTTCCTTCGTAGTAGGTCACAGGCACCTGGTAGCCGGAGGTCTTGAGCAGATCCTTTACTTTCGCGGAGCTGCCGTTGAAGGGCACAACGAAGCCATCAATGTAGCTGCGGACGCTGGCATCGTTCTTGGCCCGCTCCACAAGTTCAGCGTAGCTCAGCTGAAGACTTGCCACCTTTGGTAATGTGCAGAGCGTGGTGCTCCACTGTTCCAGGCTGGTCACGCCTGTGGGGAGGTTCACCGTGGTTGCCACTGTTGGCGCAGGATGTAGCGGAGCCTGGTCTGAGGGCTCACGCACGTGCTCAAAGCCGTAGTCCTCCACGTCCTGGTCACTGAGACGCCTCTTCGGGGCATCCGTCATGCCATGCATCATTTCCTGGTTGGAGCTCAAGGCTTGCGTCGTACCGAAGGCCTGCTGGAGCACGTTCACCACATCATCTCCACGCCCTTCCGCCTGAAGGCGCTCCACAAGATGCCGAAGCTCAACTGGAGACACCGATGACGAGGAGGGTGAGCTGGTCTTCTGCTTGGGCGCCATGCGGTCCAAGGTGCACGAAAAGGGTTGCTGATGTTCGACTACACAAAACAAAACAAAAGGATTGCTGCTTTAAGAGAAAAAAGGATTACGCGGCCAGCGTTACCTTGAGGCAGACACTGGGGATTGTGGCAGCATCGCTTGCTCTTGACAGTGATGCGTGCGCATTGCTTGGCGTGGTCCCTCCACGCAAGCGGACTACCCCACCACTAGTCCCCGTGACTAGTCTAAACCCTAGATCCCGGAACCACCCTTTCATACCAGATCTCTGTTCGAAGCAAGGACACAGGGCTGGATAGCCACTGCTTTTCGCACAGTAAGGACTCCTGGAGGTCCTCTGACGCGAGAACTTTCCCGCTGCGTGCGTCGAAAGAGGTGCGACGAACAGCCTTGCCTTGAACGATGTGTTCTTCTTCAGGGGAATGATATGAAGTAGCTTCGTGATCTAGGTACACCTTTCGAAAGACTGCGCCTGGAGTTTGGCTCTGCTCATAGTTCGGGCTGTTCGTGCTCCCTAAAGGCTTTCTCTGGACACACCTGTCTCGTTGCGCCTTCTTCTGTGCCAATACCTCGGCCTCGTTAGACAGCTGATAAACCCCGTTAGCTAGCAATGCGCGCATGAGGTCAGCGGGATCTGCTTGGTTCTTGGTGAGCCCGTCTGCAATCATAAGCTGAGTGGGACACCACCTGACCTGCAAACCACAACGAGACATGGACTGGCGAACGATTGCCAGGTCAATGGCGACGCGTTTGTCTTCAATCTTGCCTGGCGATGTCGGAGTGTTGAGTGCATCAAACAAGGACTTGCAGTCTGTCACCCCTGTGATGGGCACACATCTAAGGTGATCTTCACAGGCCCTAAGGTCGAAACACCCGTGCTTAGCCTCCACTCGCAGTAGCGAAACTCTGCGTCTCACCAGCAAGCGTGGACGCCACTACTCGGGACATCTTGTATGATTTCCAGCAAAAGGGTGACCACACACTGGGCTGATCTTTGGCCAACTGACTAGTTGTGAACGCGAGGATGTACCCGGCTTGGGTTTTACCCTGTGAAGCATTAGCAAACCCAGCGTCACTATGGAAAACTATATTGAGATCTTCCCAGGGCACATGACGAACAGTGAGCGCCACGTCACTGTACTGACGGGCTCGGTGCACCGCCTCATTGGCGGACAGGAGGTGCTCAACAGTAGGACTGGGGAACGCCTGCTGTGAGAAGGAGGCCTGAACGCTGATATCAGGACGGGTTTGGGACGCAAGCCAGTTGAGGGCACCGTTCACTGCTCGGAGAGCCGTGATCTCACGTTCAGTCGCCAGCTGTTTCCGCTGCTTCTGTCGATTCTTTGTCATGGCGATGGGTCTTATGTTCTGCGCGTATGCTTTTTGATCATAAGTGATCTCTTTAGACTCAGGGTCTTGGAAGTATTGAACTCCGCAAAATTCCCCACTGCCCTGTCTCCATTTACGATATTGAAACATCGCCTTTAGCCTCTGAATGGCTCGGTTGTACGCTTCCCCTTCCCCCGTTATGGTATCATCCACATGTGCCCCTAGGATCCCCGTTAGCCCTCTTTGAGGCTCTCGGTAGTAGTACAAACATGGGTCGAAGATGCTACGCTGGAACCCTGCGGCCTGCGCCTGAGCATCAAACTCCTTGTACCACTGGGCCGGCGCATCGTTAGCACCGCAGAGGTTCCCCACCATTTCTAAAACAGCTGAGGGGTCTACGCCCGGAATCCCTCCAGGGGGTTGCGCGGCGAATAGAGGACGAGATTTTTCAGGGATTGGACCTGCTTCGAGGAAAGCACCTTTTATATCGCCTAGGTTTAGGGTCCAGCCTTTGGAGACAAGGACTTGAAGCAGCCAGGCGCGCGACAACTGGTGCATCGTTGGGCTGTGACACTCACCCGAAGCAATCTTCTGATGGAAGTCGGGATCGTTGTGTCCAAGCAAGCACCATCTCGCCTTTACTCTAGATCCTCTTCATCAACCTTGTTCGTAACTACAAACCGGCTGCCGATGAACCTATGCCCGAACTTCTCCTTGATTTCTCTGGCCTTAGCCCCCGTGTGCACTCTTACAGCTGCCTTGCCGGACACCGTCTCCCACTCAACGAGTTTTGCCTCGTCGATGCGATGCTGCATGTCCGGAGTATTTCCGGTGGCGGGGAGCTCTTTCTGAGCTCGCTTCTGCAGAAATGCAGCCATCAGAATCTCCACATGGCTGCTATGCAAGTGCTCCATGTCCAGAGTTTCTTGACAAAAGAGAGCCTCTGTGGACACAGTTCGAGGCCTCACACCTTCAGGAGACTCTGTCGGCTCATTACTGGCCGCCCGCTTCTGGCTACTGGCTCTGGGGGTCTCTGGTTGCACAGTCTGCGGTACGTCTGAGCTACTACTAGGGCTTGCTCCCGGGACCTCTTGGGGTGTTGGGCTACAAGGCGAGGAACAATTTCAGACATCATTTGCGAAGTCTTCAGGATTAGAGTCGGGCAATCTACGGAGACTGCTCTCAGGAGTTTTGCGGACGATGCGTCTGACAGGGGCGTATGACGATTCTTCCTTTGGGCTGGCTTCAGGAAGTGTTGTAGGGTAGGGTTCTGCGTTGGCCCTGGCAGGGGCCGAGCAAGACACTTCTGCTTTCGGGCTCTCGGTCCCTGCTGCTGTCTGCCTGTGCTGTTCCAGCCACTGCGCTGCATTGAGACCCGCAAGGCCTTGTGACGGCTCATCAACCGTGGCCTGAGCCTCTTCAGGGGCCTCTGGAGGGCGGCTCTCCTGAGTGACATCCACAAATTGGCTTTTCGGGAATTGACCCTTTTCAAGCAGTGTCTTACGCCTAGGAGCTCGCTCTCCGGAAACTCTGCCACTGTGGCCTCAGATGGGGTTGCAAAACGAAGCTGTTCAGCGCCAGCGCAAGAGACTACGCCTGTGCGCGACAACGATGTTGCGACTGACCGATCCCAGCACTAGCCCTGCCCCGTACCATCTCCCCCCCCCTATTCTTATCCCATCGACATGCTTCTGTGTGCGCCAGTAGTAAACCCAGTCTCCCGAACGAAAAGGACGAAGCGCACGCGGGCGTGAGAAGGCGGCGCGAACGCGCGATCGCTTTGGCACTCAAGCATGGCACGGCGCGACGCGGCGGACTGCAGCTGCGCACTCTAGCGCTGGTTCTGCCTGTTCGGCATCGACGGCACCCAGGTGAGGCGCCTCCTGCATAAGATCCGTGGGAACGCGCGGATTGTGCCCGAAAACAAGCTGGTACGGACTGGCGCCCGCTTCAGTCAGGAGGGTGTTTTTAGCGGATTGAGCATGGGACAGGCAATCACGCCACTCTGGTTCGACTGGGGACGGATCTCATCCAGAACGCGCTGGAAAACCCGACACAACCATTGGCCATGCCGCTCCACTTTGCCTAGTTGCCAGTGGGCATCTGCGGCAGTATGTCGCATGTCGATGCCGGTGTTGTTGCAGAACGCGCCTAAAACCTGAAAGGTTGGGCTGAGAAGGGTCTAAGCACAGGGTCTGAGGAGGGCCGGCCCACGACACCCACCGATTGCGAAGAGCGTCTCGAGTGGTTTCACCAGTTTCGGTGCGATGCAATGGAACCATAACCTGAGGGAGGTAGCGAAGTCAACCATGTTGACGCCTGGGATTTTTTGACCTGACAACCACCCTGGCAAGTACTTAACGTCTAGCCCTACTTTTTCATTGAACTGGGATGCTAGAGGTGTTTGCGGGAAGTGGTGCTGTTGGCCGACTCTGGTTTGCACACACGCTGCAGGAGAGGCTTGAAGCACGCTGGACCGCACGATCTGAAGCACCACTGTGCTTGAGAACCCGAACAAGCTCCTTATTTGAGGGATGTCCTAAGTTATTGTGCAACTTAAGGAGGGCTTGGTCTATCTTTATGAGTCGCTGCTGTTCTTGGGGATCTTCAGGTTGCTCATTTGCTGCAGGCGCTTCGTGTTGTCTCGGGATCTCAGGTGCTCTTTGGAAAGCGCTTCCTGCGAGGCATTCGCATTCCAAGGCAGTCCAGTCCAGGGGATCACCCTGCACAACCAAGCTTTCACACGCATTGAAACCCACGTGCCTCCAGAGCATTTCGACGAAACCTGAACAATACCTACCTGAAAACTCGCTCCTACTCACCCCCGAACTTGCATGGCCCTGGATGTGCTGATGCCTGTGGCATCCGGGACAGGTCCTCGCTCCTTGAGCAAGGTTCGGATTCGAACACAGCAGAGCGGTCTCCCTTTTGATGGGCAAACCGGACCTAGGGCAGGTGAGACCGTAGGCACACATATCAACCCGAACCAGACCATACTTATTAACTAGGGGTCTAATGAGGGGGTCTTTCCAGATCCTAGAACCCACCGGATGTTCAAGGAGAAAATGACCGCCGCGCGCCAGTTGGCGCTGTATCTGCTGGGCACAAAAGCGAAACTGCTGACGGCTCACCATCAGCATGCGGGCTCTTTCCAAAGGCGTCCTGTGGATCATGTGAAGACTGTCCCAGTCACCACAATGAATGCATGGGGGAGATGCTGTGAGTAAGGCAGGTCTGGCCTCTTCAAGCAACTGGTCTACCTCCTTCTGCGTGCTCCTACATCCTAAATCACACCCCTGCTTAATGTCAAACGCCAGCCCCGTTGCTCCATGCTGGCGAGCCTGTTCAGTCAGGCGAGGGGGCGAGAACAACTCCGCCACTGCAACCTGTGCGGATTGCTTGGCGTCTAGGGTTTTAACCTGGGCCAGGAGGCACTTACAGTGTTTGTTCTTCATGGGTTTCTTGTTCTTGTTTGTCTTAGGGCTTAAGGGTCCTAAGGGTTCAGGCGATGGCGGTGGTGGTACATGTCCCTCCAGTGAAGGCTGCAAGCCACACGTGACGTCCTGAGCCACATCATTCTTACACCCAGATGCCTCTACTGAATCCGCAGCGGGAAGAACAGGCTTATGAGCAACCATGCGGCTGGGGTAGCTGAGGATGTCGATGAGAAGCTGGCCAGCATCATTGACCTTCATGGGCACGGCCTCCTGAGCGTTCAGGAACCGCATCGTCTTGTTGCCGAAGTTCAAGGAGACCTGTAGCTTCTCTAAGGTTGGACGCCCCAACAGAAGAGGAGCTCGACCTTGGATGACCGCCGCATCGATGATGCCAGGCACCCCTCCGATGCCCACAGGTATCTTCACGGCCATGCTTGAAACCTCCGTGGCGCCATTCCCGAACCTGAACGAACTCGTGGCCTGGTAGGTCTCAAGCGTCTTGCCGATCATGCTGCCTATCTTTGCCTCGAGCTGCTGGAGCGTGTCCTTTCCGATGAGCGTGCGTCCACAGCCGGAGTCTACAACCCCGAAACCCGGTGAAGACACGAGTCCCGCCGCCAGAACAGGCACTCCTGCCTGAGCGGCGACCTGAGCCATTCCAACGAACATCACATCGGAGGGTTCCTCAGCGGGGTCGACTTCGTACTGCGCCAGGGACACCTCCTGCTCGACCAGCTGCGCCTCCACTACGCCAGTCGTAGACGAAGCCGTCGGCCTGCTGGCTGCTGAAGACGAGGAGCCGCCCTTTCCACCTCCAGAGCGACACTCTCTGGCCCAGTGGCCCACTCGACCACACTTCCGACAGCGTGTCCTTCGCTTGAGTTCTTCGATCTCAACTCTGAATGACTTCTTGCTGTGCTGGGCAGAGTCAAACTTGCGATCTTTCTTGAAGCGGGCTATTTCAGCACGACGTTCCTTCCAATTTCCCGAAGGAACTGACGGTTGGAAGCAAGAGTACCAAAGCTTTGCCCAATATGCCAGGAAACGCCTGCTGTCACAGGACCAACGCTTCGAGACCTCCGCCTCCTACATCATGTGGCTCCTCGAGACACAGATGAAGAAGCGGCTGTCCGGCAACGTGAACGTGCGGGTCGGCATGCAGCAAAAGCCAGGAGGATGTCACGGCTACCAAGATGGAAGCCGACGCGTCTACACTGCACTGCGGGACATTCCCGGCACACAGCCATACCTGTACGCAAAGAAGGGCATCGCGCTGAACATGTACGAGCAGCTCGGGCAGCCACAGTTCTTTCTAACACTGACCTGCCACGCCCAGCAGCCGAGCATCCTGCTAGCAGCCATTTCGGCGCGCTTGTTGCTCCTGAATCCAAACCTGACACCTGCGGAGCTGCTCGGAAAAAATTGCACACAAGATGTTATATGGTTGGTTCACAGTGCATTATAAAGAAAGGTAGTGAAATAGCGATGCTTGCGACCCAATCCTTCACGCAACGACGTGAGGCTGGAACATGAGGCAGCCCAACTTCTTCGCAGCTATCAAAAGCCCGACTTCAAATGGGACGGCTTGTCTGCCAATCAGCTCTGCAACCAACAACCAGCCGTCGTGGCTCGACAATTCATGCATCAGCTACGGCAATTCCTGCGGTGGATGGCTCCACACATCAACGTGGACAAGAAGATCGACGCCGATGCCGACCCGGAAGACCAACACCACCAGGAAGACGAGGAAGACACGATCAGCGTAGCAGCACCAGCACCAGACATTTCAGGCCAACACCACGCCATGCGCAAGGAAACACCACCGTTCCACGTAACCGAGTACATCGTGCGCATAGAATGGCAGAAGCGAGGCTATCCACACGCCCACATTCTGCTGTGGATGAAGCCAGTGTCGCCGACGGAGACACCAGACCCCCTAGAAGCAGAGGACGTGGACTGGTCAGACGAGGAAGCCTGCCTTCGATTCGTGCCCAAAACCGCCGAAGAGATGAGCGACAAATTCATATGCACGAAGTCGCCAGCAAGCTGGCGAGAATCCACCAAAACAGACGCAACTATCAAAGAAGTGAACGCCAAGCTGGCTGAGATGATGATACATCACTGCAGCGCCTACTGCGGCAAATTCGCACTGGGAGCCTGTCGTTTCGGATTTCCTCGCGGCGAAGCCAATCGTTCACGCAGAAGAGATGCCCAGGAAATGTTCTTCAGTCGCTGGAAGAGCAGCTTGACAGCAAGGAGGCAAAAGCGAGATAGCATGATGGGACAGTACAACGCCACCATGCTACGAATGTGGAGAGCAAGCATGGACTTGCAGGTAATATGCGAGCTGACGAGCGCCAGCCGCTACATACTGGGCTACACGTTCAAGTCCGAGGAAGACTTCATCGCAGCCCGTCGCATGCAAGCAGTCATCGAGAAGCTGGTCACCGACAACAGCAACGAAGCTCTCAACGCACAGGAAGTGTACCGAGCCGCGCACGCAGCCCTGCAAGGCAGAACAACCTCCACCTTCGAAGCATGCCACTTGCTGCTGGGATTTCCAGTGGTCGAATTCTCCAGAGACAGCGTATGGATTCAAGCAGGCCCGCCAGAAACCTGGACACTATGGGTACCGCAACGAGAAGAAGCCGAAGCGATAAAGCAGCCAGACGCATACTTCAAAAGCAGACAAGGGCAAAGCTGGACCATGCCTGTCGCACAACGATGCTACCAGCACTTACAAAAGGCCTTTGCAGAGCAGGAGACCGACGTACCAGTCGAAGGGTCCTCGCCAGTGAAGCGTCAGGAAGGACATCACCTTCTTCGACTTCTGCGCAGGCTTCAGATTCATCGGCAAAGAATTCCCAGTTCCTCGAAAACGCCCAGCCATCGTGGGATATCGAAACTTCAGCCCCGACCTCGAGCCGGAAGCCTTCTACTACTCCAAGCTGCTGCTGCATTTGACATGGACAGCGCCCGGGGAATGGTTACTGCCAGAAGACAAAGAAAGCCATGCCGCAGCTTTCCAGCGAATCGCCCGCGACAACAAGCAGCATCCCACATTCTTGCAATCCATCTGCTTACCTGCCCTGGATGGCACGGTCGCAGCAGCCCGCAAACTCCAAGCAGTTCAAGCTGTCATGTACATGAAAGCCAAAATGGCGCCCGCGGACCTCCGAGACGGTTGGTCGCACAGCCGTGCTGACGAGCAAAACTATCAAGACGCTCTCAAGATCATGGAGGCGCTTAGAGAGAGGCGCGGAGGGACCATCGACTTTCTGGCTCCCGACTTCGTGCCAACCGGGCCCGCAAGCAGCGCTTTCACACCAGTAGAAGGCGGAGAAGAAGCTTTCGGTCTGCTCACAAGCAAGGATCCAGGCCCAGAAACAGAACGACAGCGGCAGGCCATGGAGTACATCATTCGCACCGTGACAGACAACCCGAACACCAAAGCAGGCCACAGCACCCGACGCCTACGCCTCCTTCTGCACGGACCTGGTGGCTGCGGCAAATCAGTAGTGGTGCGCGCTGCCGCCCACATGCTTCGCCAGAGCGGCAAGGGCATCATCATAGCGGCACCCACAGGCGTAGCAGCCTGCAATGTCAACGGCGTGACCCTACACCAATGCCTTGCCTTGCCGGTAGTGAACCGAAGCCACGGCAAAGCCTGCGACGCTCCGTTGCCGAGAGGCGCCCACCTCGCAGCCCTTCAAGAGCTCTGGGCACAGGTATCCGTGCTCATAGTGGATGAGATCAGTTTCATTTCCGCCTTCATGTTTGACCGCATCGACCAGCACCTGCGCATGGCCCGAAACATTCCCGACATCCCCTTCGGAGGACTGCACGTAGTCTTCTCGGGCGACCTCTACCAGCTCCCGCCTCCAGGAGGCCACCCCTGCTTTTGCAGTTCTTTGTGGTGCTTCTTCGAGCTGTGCGAACTGGAGGGAAATCAGCGCGCCGCGCAGGATCCAGAATGGGCCGCGCTGCTTGCGCGAGTGCGCATCGGCACTTGGACAGAGGACGACATTCGCATGCTGAGAAGCCTCGTCATCAAGAAGAATGGCAAGCAGCAGCCTGCAACAGAAGCCGTGCACCTCTACGCCACCCGCAAAGCCGTCGCAGAAGACAACCAGCAATACCTGGACAAACACCTAGCCAGCACAGGCAACCAACTCTACGAGTGCCCAGCCGTGGACATCAGCGTGAAAACGGGCGCGCCACTGCCGGCAGAACTCGCGTGGGCCGAACCAGAGAACACGGGAGGACTCGAAGCCTTGCTGAGAATTGCAGTAGGAGTTCGGGTCATGCTCCGATTCAACATAGACGTTCGCGACAAGCTCGTCAACGGCGCCTGCGGAACAGTCACCCACATCGACGCCGAGGACACCGGAGAAGTGACAAAAATCTGGGTCAACTTCGAAGGACAAGCCGGAGCTCTCTGGTGCGAAGCAAAAGAAATGCAATCGGTAGCAATAACAAGGCGAACAGCCACGTTCCAAGACCAAACTGATAGCCGAGCGGAACGCAAACAGTTTCCACTCGTGCTTGCCAAAGCAACCACCATACACAAAAGCCAAGCAGCTACAGCCCATCAAGGAGCTCACTCTGCCCTGGACAGCACAGTCACCCAAGAAGGACAGGCGTACGTCGCTCTGTCCCGCTGTCCCACCCGCCAACATTGCACACTAAGGAATTTCAACCCAGCATGCCTACGATTCAACGCGCATGCAGAATGGGCACTCACGAAGCTCAGAGAACAGCAAGCAGAGAAGTCAGGCAGCGAGCTCTGGTGCAACCTCATGAAGCCTCCGCACAACAAAGAATTCTACGCACAACGGCTGGCGAAGCTGCCCCACCCAGACCCCCACAACAACAGCAGCAACCCAGACGAGGAACGACCTTGGCACTGCCCACGATGCGGCGAAGCCACGGCCCATACCAAACCAGCCATGAAAGCACACAAGCGCATTTGCCCGGCAGCACCACCCAAACCAGCCCGAGCCAAAGACAAAGCGAAGGCCAAAGCCAAAGCGAAAGCCAAAGCCAAAGCCACAAACAGGAAGGGCGGCACGTGCGCAACAACGCCACGGGCAACAACATCCACCAAACGCAATGCGGTGCGTTGGCAAAACTGCAAAACAAAGGAGAATAAGCACAAGCGAGACACACCAAACAGCCCAGCCGAGAGCCCTCCCACCAAGAAAAGTACAAGCAACCAAACAAATGCCCGGTCATCAGAACAAAACAACATCTTCTTCGAAGAACAAGAAGGGGCCCAATGCGGCAAGCACGCGCTCAACAATGCACTCGGACACCATTACTTCGACACAAAGGACATGCAGCAAGCGGCCGAAACGTTCATGTGGGAGAACCCCGAACTTGGTGACGATCTGGAAAGACACATCTCGCCGGACGGGGACTATTCCATCGAAACGATGATGATGGCATTGCGAACCATGGCAATGAAGAAATTCGGGCGGCTTTGCTGGCAAATGAGAGACACACGTGCCACCAGCAGCAGAGACCTGGAAGGTTGTGTCGGAGCAGTGCAGAACCACCACAACCAGCACTGGGTCGCTTTGAGGAGTGCCGGCGACACATTCTTGTACGTGGACTCCTTGAACCGAGCAAAGCAGGCAACAAGCCTCACGAAAGAAGAGCTGGAAGCCACGCTGCGCGCCCATCCAACTTATGTGATTCACGAGATTTGACAAGCCGCTCTTCAACAACCACCTCTATGCAACTCGGCATGAGAGAATCCGGCAGCATTTCAACTCGTTCAACTTCCCGAAGAATCGCCATAGCACCGCTCTGCCGAAGGCCTGCGACAGCCCAACTGAGTGCTTGAATGCCATGCCAGTTTCACTCTGTAGGACGATGAAGAAACCATAGCGCAACAATCAAGAGTCGAAAAGCGGGGGCCAAGGCAAGCTCGTGTTGATCATGATTCGATGCCGCTGCCTGAAGCTAGAATATCAGAGAGGCATCTGCGCAGGATGAATGATGCGTGCATCGTTTCATACCCAGAGCACCTCTTGGATCAAGATATATTTCAAATCTACTGCCTTGTCGTAGCGCCCCAGAGCATAGCAGCCATGCCACTCATCAAAGAAGGCGTGCCATCCCCAGCAACTAAGCTACGCAAGCTAGGGACCAAGGAGCAGAACCAGGTTAACCTGAAGTTGCTGGGAGCGGACATCGTGCTGCCCAAACAACTTGAAGATCACGAACAACCATCCTTTCCAGAACGTCCTCGGGAACTACCAGCCACAATTCCCGACGACTTCGTGAAGGACACCCTGGCAGAACTAAATGCACACCCGCGAGACAGAAGTATCAGCTTCCAAGCAGACGATCACGTATACTTCTGGAAAGGAAAGCGTGTGTCGAGATCAGTCACACAGTTTATAAAGGAATTCACCGAACCGTTCTGCGAAAAGCAGGTCATCAATTCAATGCGACAGAGCCGCAACTGGCCACGTCCCGGTTACCTGAAGACTTTGCTTTCAGAAAACCAAAAGAATGAGTTGCAGAAGCTACCTGGCAGCGAAGAACTTCTTGCGGAGCTCAAGCGACAAGAGCGAGACGAACTCAAAGTCTGCCGTCTTGCCTTCAAGCTACGTGCAAACCAAGCGAGCAGTCCAAATCAAGATGCCGATGTAGCAGATGCTCTGACAGAACTCGGTCTTTCTCGGGAAGAAATCATGCGCAAGTGGGAGAAGGCACGCCAGGATGGAGCAAGAGAAGGCACATGGATGCACGCACAATTCCAGTGCCTGCTCAATGGTGGCTCGGTTCCCGACAAAACCACCGAAGTGTTTCTCCTGTCACAATTTCTACAGTCGCAATCCAACACGAAGGCTTTCCGAACAGAGTGGCAAGTGTACGCAGACAACGAAGACCTGGCTGGCAGCATCGACTACGTGGCGAAGAGACCAGACAACAGCGTAATCATAGTGGATTGGAAGCGCACAAGCCCATCTCGGCTCCAACGCAAGGCGTGCAACAAGTTCATGCGGACGCCACTAGGCCACGTCCCTGACTGCACACTGTGGCACTACCGCCTCCAACTCAACGTGTACAAGTTCATACTGGAAAAGTACTACGGAGAAGCTGTTTCCGCCATGTACATAGTGGGAACCAATCCCGAATACGGAGACCAACCGTTCATAGACAACGTTCCCACAATGGACGTCGAGACAAAGAATCTCCTAGCAAACGCGCGGTGAGGAGCAACAAAAAGCAAAACCTGCATGTGAAAATGTGTTCTGCTGACATCAATCCGGGTTCCAGCGCACTGTCGTGGATTGAAAAGCACAAGTCCAGATTGGCTCCAACGTCAGACATACAACAAGTGCATGCGGACGCCACTGAGCCATGCCCCGACTGCACCCTGCGGCAAATGTTAGCCCAACATTGGCCCCCAAAGCCCCAGAGCCCAAGATGGGCTCCCAGAGCCCAAAATTGGCTCCAAAGCCCAAAATTAGCCCCCAAAGCCCAATTAACTTCCAAAGCCCAAAATTGGCCCCCAAAGCCTACAACTCCCCTCCCCCCTCCCAAAAATGAAAAGCATAGTTCCAAAAAAAAAAACGTTTCGGTCAAAACGTTTCGGTCAAAACTTTCGGTCAAAACTTTCGGTCAAAACTTTCGGTCAAAACTTTCGGTCAAAACTTTTTGGGACCCAAACCCTATACAATTTCTATAAACCCTAAACCCTAAACCCTAAACCCTAAACCCTAAACCCTAAACCCTAAACCCTAAACCCTAAACCCTAAACCCTAAACCCTAAACCCTACCCCCTACACCCTAAACCCTAACCCCTAAACCCTAAACCCTAAACCCTAAACCCTAAACCCTAAACCCTAAACCCTAAACCCTAAACCCTAAACCCTAAACCCT